GATATTTTTTTTAATTCATAACATAATTTTTTTGATGGATTTTTGATGGTATTGAATCACAGCATTATATAATAGTTTAATGATTTTCTGTTCTTTGCAAAGCAGTTTGATACATTACTAAATTACTTCGGATTTATTTATATTTATTATTTTGATTAGCCTTATCGTAATGAAATAATTTTTCTACTTAAATTTTTTTATATGTGAAGAGTAGCAGGCTAATAACTTTAAATCTTTTGCTTAACGATATTGTATTATCCTTAAGCTATCCATTATTAAATAATATGTAGTAAATATATTACAATAATGATACATGTAAAGTGTGTAATTTTTTTTGCAGGTAAACACGTTGATGAAATCATATAGTCAGTATATGAATAATTTAAGTTTAACTGGGAAAGCTCTGGAAGTGTTAAACCTTGATATGAAAACTAAACGATATTGTAACAAGATGACTCTTACAGAGGATATACCATTTCTTCAAGAGTGTGCTTTTATACAACATAAAAGAGCTTAGAAAATATCTAGATGATGTGAAAGCAAAAGAAGAGCAAGAATTTAATGAACTTAAAGTATGAAGTGCTTTATAATCGTTATTAAATTTCGTTTTTAGGCAAAAAAGACATTACTTGAATGTCAATATTGTTATGATGATAAATGTATGCCATCCAAGTGTTCCATGTGAGGATGGTCACATATTTTGCAATTCATGCATTAACAAGAGCACAGACGTGGTATTAGCAGATTGGCAACACGCGCGTTGATTGCTTGTTGCAGTGTGGTCGCGAATTTTCTTTATCTGTACTTCAACAGGTATTACCGCCGACCAAATTTAGTATTTTACTTTGTAAACAACAAGAAGCGGAGGTACTAGCTGCTGGAATCCATGGTTTGGTATCATGTCCATTTTGTTATTTTGCATCTATACCAGCGAAAGACAATATTTTCAAATGTCTTAACCGGAATGTATGTTTGGCATCGTCTTCTTCTTCTTCTAAGTTTGGATGGCCCAGGTTCCGTAGTAAACGGATTTTCGTGGCCAGTCTTATCTTGTTTGGCTCCGTGTTGTCTATGCGAAAATATTTTGTTGTCATCCACTGCTGTGTTTCTTCCCGGCCCCCACTACTAGACTCATCAGTAAGGCATTGTAGTGGGAGCCTGCCTTCGATGCCCGGAGGTGTCTTAGAGCGAGGTGCTATATGAATAGATCTCATGTGTCTCGAGTACATGCGAGAATTGGCACGAGTCTCTTCCTTTTGAATCTTTTCCTCTTTGGACATCTGGGGGTGGGCCGCCACAATGAAAGAATCTTGCCGGTAGGTGTAATCTTAAGCTTTGTGAAGTTGGCACCCCTAAATGCGAATTTTGGTAAAATCATTATTGCATTCGTTTGTCCACTGTTTGTCCACGTTTGTCCACCCTCCAAAAAAAAGTTATACACAAAAAAAAATTGTAGCACCCCCAAGTGATTATTTTTCATTATTATGAAAAATATAATAAAAATAAGGTGGAAAAACGGAAATAATGGGTGGACAAACGTAGACAAACAGTGGACAAACGAATGCAATAATGATTTTATCAAAATTCGCATTTAGGGGTGCCAACTTCACAGAGCAGCTCTGTCATAAATATATTAATGATAAATATATTTATCATAAATATATTAATGACTTTTAATCGTAATATTAATAAGTTTTATATTTGCAAATTAATAATTAAAAGCAAATACGATCTTATTATTGTTACTATTTAATTCTGTTTATCAATATTTTGTGAACTATTAGTTTAGAAAAATTTGTGTTTCATGTATACATTTTTGACGTTTTTGTATAATCCCGCGATTCCCGCGTTGCTAAAATTTGTTAATTATTCTTCTATAATATCATTTTTATTATATTTATTTGAACAGTTTTATCACTGTATATGTATTGTATGGTAAATTATTATTATTGTAGTATTGAATTGTATGAAAGATTATAATAAAGATAATATTAAAAAAGTTAATGTATATTAGCGAAATATCATAAAATAATTAAATATAAAAATAAGAATATAAAACAAAAAGACATACTTATCTGCAAAAACGGGTTACTAAATTTATAGAGATTTGTTTTTTTAACGGATGATTATATTTATAAAGAAAAGAGGATTGCTGATAAAATCGGCGTAGGGTGAATATGGAGGGCCTCTAGTTAGTTTTCGTTTAATTAAATCTTAAATTAACGATGTATAATTGGAAAAGTTTGAAGTGTATTCAAAGTCTTTATAATAATTATAGAAACTTTGAATACACTTAGATACTAGTAATTTTGAAGTAATATCTCAATGGACTGGAGAACGTATCAGAAAACTTTGGATACATGAATTTTCTAACAATTTGTAACACAATTCAATAAGCGATATTCTTATCAGTTACATATTAATCTTTTGGTGTCTAAATGGTGTCTGTGACACAAATCCGTTAAAGAGCTATAATTCATTATAAAAAGTATAATAGTTAAATGAAGAAATAAAAAAAATAAGGCTCACACAGCACACTTTATTTTTTATACGTTTCATATTCAGCAATTTCCATCTTTATGAAATATAAAAGCAGAACAACTTCACAGTTAACTTTTTACAATTTTTAACAATTAAATATATATTAATATGAAGGGCTTTAAATATATAAAGCGTTTAAATAAGCATATGAGATTAGAAGACAGCGATCTTCTTTATACCAACATTATACATATGTACTGATGGTATCATATATACAGGGTATCTGGAATTTAAATGTCAAAACTTTGGTGGTGTGTAAGGGGTGAATAAACTAAGATAAAAAGTTCTGTAGAAATATACTTATTTTTGCTTCGTTTGGAGAAAATCGACCAAACGTAGTTGCTTCGTTCTTGGACGTGAAGGAGTAGTCTTAGTCATTTCGACCACCTGATTTGACACCACTGCATTTCTTTGTGTAGAGGGTCCTAAAGCAGAAAATTTATTCGTTGTCAATCAACTCAAGAGAATAATTGAGAAATCGAATCGAAGTTGCAGTGTACTAAATATCACTAGGTCAGTGTTTGGTTGCAACACACTGTCCGTATACTGATGATATGCTCGCATTCCTATACAAGAGGCCAACATTTTTAACAACATCTACATTAACCTTTGGAAAACCGGTGGCTTTTTTAGAGACTCGAGTGGAGCTTCCTTTTATGCCACTCAACCCCATTGACAAAAAAGTTCTAAGCCTCAAAATAAAAAAGTCGATTAAAAACATGCCGATCCTCAACATGAATAAGTAATAAAAAAGTACAAAAACGAAAATTACGTTTTGTTTTTTTTGTGATTTTCTCCAAAATGAAGTAAAAACGAGCACGTCTCTACGAGACTTTTTTTCTTAATTTATCGGTCCTTTACACACTCCCGAAGTTTTGAGATAAATTCCTGACACCCTGTATATATATGAAATATTTTTCTCACCGTTTTATTATCTTCAAACTATCTTATATCCGTATAGTAATTAAGATTTGCGTATTCAGTGTAGGGAGGTAAGAACATAATTGTACTATTACGGTTCACCGTCAATACATTATTTGCTTAAATAATTCACAAACCTATGCGCGGCTTTGGAAGGAAAACTACGATGTAGGAAATATGCATCAGAGGGGTTACTTGTATTATATCGTCAAAGAAATTTTACTAACAGTTGAATACACGTGGATAGTAAACTAAACACATACGTGTCTTTAATGTGAACGGTATTTTCTCCTGACAAGTTTAAATCGCTGTGTAACTATAACAAAACGATAGAATTAAATAAGCAATTGTTATGGCGGATATACTAACAATGGAAAAACTTATTGCGTTTTTGAAGGCGGATTTATTGTTTGCTTGTTGTTGGCCATTACCACCAACTGCCACAAAATGTGAAAAGATACGTAATAAAATATTTCGCTACTTTTCTGTTCTACACGGGATGATTATGATGATTGCGATATTATATACCATTTACAGCAATCGGTCAAATTTATTTTTAATAATGAAATTATGCTGTGAGTTATGTACCACTACTGAAGTTCCTTTACAAATAATTTGTTTCTCAGTTCAATACGATCGTCTCCAAGTAAGAAGCGTTATTTTAGTTATATAATCAATATAGAAATAAATAATAATAATAATAAAGTAATTAGAAAATTGTATTTAAATATTATGTATCAATAGATTTATTTATATAAATTGAAATATATTAAAATAAGCAGATTGATTTAACATTTAATTATATTGTAAAGTAATATTACTAATATTCTCTATTATTTTTTTTATTTACATTGAGAATATTTCTAAGTAAATGTGTAGTTAAGATTGCACCTTATCGATGTTACTTAGTCTTTAGATATGTTGTACGGAAAAGTATTTTGATTAATTTTTAACAAAACTTAAATAGAGAACATTATTGTGGTTTAGGAGATATAATATTATATTATATACATATGAGGGACGGCATTGGTTTAGGAGGTATATTACAAACAGTGAAGTTTATGTGTTCGAAAACCCATGTAAAACAGTTATAGACATTGTAAGTTGCAGAGAGATGTGGAATAGATTTTGTTTCGTGTGGTAAATCTGAAATCCATATAAAGTATATCATAGATCTCGTTTTACCCCATAAGCATGAAGAGCTAGGACTGTGGGATAAACCTTATGCCTCAAAAACTTATGCCTGAAAACTTATATAAATCATTACAATCACATAGACTTTGTTTCGTCCCGGTAAGCAGGAGAGAGGATGAGAGGTGAACTTCTCGCTTTGTGTAGAAAATTGTAATTCTATATTTATCGTGAAACTTTAATTTGTTTATTTTCTAAACTAGTGCTGTCTCCTATTTAATTTTTGTAGAGAATTACTTAAGTCACTCTCTTCTACAACATATCAAAAGGGATATAAAATTGGTGAGATGCGATCTATGAACTGCACGTTTATTCATTTCTGTTTAACCTTCTGTTTAAAAATAGTCATGATTCAATTGCAGTACGTAATTTACGAATTGGAAGACTATTGCAAGCTAGCGAAACCAGAGGAGAGAACTATTTTTCATCGCTACATTAACAATTGTAAATCATTTTATATAGGCTCAATATGCGCCTTCACTGTTACCGGATTGTTGCTCATCATCAGTCCTATAGTAGAACCACATCCTTTTCCTATCGATGTAGAATATCCGTTTTCTGTGGACTATCAACCTTTAAAGATTATCATTTATCTACATCATATATTACTTATATATCAAAGTTATGCGCAGGTATGCTCAAATATTTTTATCGCACTTCTATTGTGGTTTGTGTCAGCGAGATGTGATATCTTATCGAATAGATTTCGAGCTGTTACAAAGTTTACCGAGTTGCGAGCATGTATAGAAGAACATCAAGAGTTATTATGGTAAATTTAAAGTTACATATAAAATGATATCATAGAAACGTTCATCTTGAAAAAAATCTTTCAGAAACAAAAAGAATTGTTCTATGTATGAATCGTCAAAATTGCTATTTGTAATACTTTGTTAATAGAAAGCTTAAACTTAAGTTCAAGTGGAAAATTAATTTATATATATAATATATATATATACACATATATACATAGTATATACACATCACTTTATCTATTTATTCTAAAATATTAATTATAATTCACACACAGAATTTTTATATGAGGTTTAAAATGTGTTAATATAATTAATTCTGATATCAAACAGATATTTCTTCTTATTACTGGATAATATTTAAAAAGAACACAAGTGATTATTTTTTTATATCAACATTAACTGTAAAATTTTGATAGATATTATTTCAGGTATGGAAAAAAAGTTACTCTTTCTATTCGATTTGTAATGCTAGCGTCATTAGCTGTCAGTACAATAGTTATTATTTTTACTGGTTGCACTTTTCTTAGCGTAAGTATAGTAAAGATAAATATAAGCATTATATCTATAAATATAAGCATTATATCTATTAATTCTTCAGTTTTTGTTATATATATATATATAAGAATTATTATATAAAACTCCCTTGTTACAAATTTTATAATTCAATTTTCTCATTAATTATGCAAGTTTATCTATGAAGATGTTTTTTGTAATTCCCATGTACTAATTTAAAGAACATTCAGTTCGATAAAGCAAAACATGTCATGTATTTATATTATCTGTTGCAATTTTTTTTTTAATAGCGGCAACCATTGTCAGTAAAATCAACATTTTTAATTTTCTTTGTTTCGTCTCTCGCAAAAGTATATTTATGTGCATGGCCAGCTGATCATTTGTTGAGTGCAGTAAGTTACGTTTATATGTATATAGAAATTGTAAAAATAGCTTGATACATTTAGAAATTAATAAATTAAAGATGTTTCTCTCTTCTTTTCTATTTTTTTAGAGCACTAATGTTGCACATGCTGCATATGAGTCTATATGGTATGACGGGAAAGTTGATTTTCAAAAAAACTTTTTACACGCTTTATTGCGTGCGCAACAACCTCTAACTGTAAACGTACCTTGCATGCTACCGACTGTTTCGTTAAATTATTATGCCTCAGTGAGTCATCGATTTTATTACTTTTGTTAATTATAAAATTATATAATTATTACTTTTGTATTATTTAAGAGATGTACATTTTTGAGATATTGGTATTTTTAACCCTTTTTTGCAAGTATACAAATAAAAATCATTTATAAATATTTATATGTTTTTGTTAATGTTCCTTGTAAGTAAAATCTCCTATTTTTTGTAACAAATATATAAATAAATTTATTTTTTTGTGTCGTTTGTTAATATTTATACACAAATGACAAAATTGATATAATCTTTTTTACTAAATAACGTAATTATTTAAATTAAGAAAATTATATTTGTGTGTGTAATATTTTAGTATGTCTCAACTGCTTTTTCTTATCTGGCTACTTTTCGAATTATACTTGAAGAAAGTGATGAGAATTAATCGATTGATGCGGATATATTATTATTATGGTGAGATTTCATTTGTTCAAATTATACAAATATTTTATTTGTATAATAATTGTATATTTATTATTTGAAAATCGTATTTTTTTTAACAAAAGTAAAATCGCGTTCATTGACTTCGCTTCTAATTTTAAATCAAGATTACAGATTGACGTGCACGATTGTATGCGATCATCTTTGTACAAAAATTGTAATAAATTGTGTTTTATTTAAAAGTTGCAACATTAGTTCTATAATAAATGTAAAATAATTTATTTGGAATAATTAGTTTGTAAGATATTGTCTATTAAATTTATATTTCTGACATGTCAAGAACATTAGACAATTACATCTTCAAGCAATCTGACAGAACATTGAAAAAGATTCCTCCGTTAATTCAAAGAGCTCACTGTTATATTATTGATGTACAAAAATTAAAACAACCATTTTTATAAAAAAAAATACCGGTAAATTTGTATATGATGGAAATCAATTAATTTGTATAAATTATTTTATAATTGAATTTATCATTGTTCAGAATCTGAAAATCCGGTTAGAAACAGAGCTATAAATTTAAATGTGACAGCGGCTGAATTCGTAGATGCAAATAAAAACATCGAGAGAATAGTTAATTTATTTATTTATTATTAACTGATACTATACAAAAATTTAAAAATTGTACTGAAGATGATCAGATTATGACTGAAACGTTTACTTTTATATTAATTAATTTAAAATATATAACTTGGCAATTACATCCTGCGCTTGTGGCTGTATGCTCATTAATTTTATATTATATATATACCTATATGTGGTATAAAGATGTATGTGGAAAAAAGGATGTGGTTATGGTGATTATATCATAGCTTATGATATCTTATGTAGTTTGTGGTACATTCTGAGGGCGATTGTAAAAATTCTTCATTTTATTTAAACAGTATAACATGGTCATTGCAGTGGCCATACGGAGAAAATTTTATATTTAAAATTACTGTAATGTGGTAGAAGCTGCGGACTATCATGTAATTATAAGTTTAAATGCTACAACGATTTTTTTTAAAATAATAATATAAATTAATTTTTAAACTTTTTTATAGTAAACATTTTTTATTAAAAAATTACACCTTGTTGAATAAAAGTTAGTATTGCAAAGATAATAAAAAGTATATATCTAGCAAATATTGTTTATGTACAATAGTAAAAATTAACTCTTTCCATGGCTTGAGAGCACTGGTTTAATAAAAATTACTTTATTTATGTAATAAAATTAGTCTTACCACAGTAAAAGTTATGTCGCGCGGAATATTGTTGTGAGGGTCCATCCGAAAACTTAATATAAAATTTTCTCCGTACATATTTATTTATTAATTTTTTTAGTTAAACATTAATAATTATGATTATTAATGTTTAGCTGCTGTCATAAAAACTGCATTTTAGTTTTGTAGACAACAGACATTTTTGCGGATGTATATTCTTTACATAATTTTGAATAATAAAAAATTTATAATTACCTTTATTAGATTAATACAAATAATAATTAATAAATTATATTAAACATTTCTAGATACACATACTGTGTCTTTATTTAGCTGAATTTACTTTATTTCATCTATACTACTTTCATCACGATATATTCGTATTGCAGACATTCTCATAAGAGACCATGCGATATTTCATTCTACTTCTAATTATACTTCACTGAAATGGATTTAATTATTACTAGACAATTACCACTAGATTGCAACATGGGTAATGCAAATGCCTGAAAGTGTTTGTAAATACACGACAGCATTGCGTTCGATGCGTATGATTAATTAAGCAGTCTTTGTCTTGCTATCTAGTGGGAAATGCAAAGGCTAGATACCTGTAATTAGATTTTCATAAAAGTTGCTCCTCTTTCTAGGTAGTAATTCACGGTAACTGAGAAGCGTTAATATTTTAAAATATTTTTCGAGATTAAACACGTTGAAGTTATTTTTTAAATAAAATAACTTTAATGTGCTTAAATAATATTATATACTTTACAAAAACTCTACATTTTATAAAAACATCTCTAAAAGGGAGGGGATAATATAGTTTTCACGAGTTATTAAAGATTATATACAGAGTTATTAAATCGTATAAATTATTAAAATTTAAATTTTGATAATTTTTATAATTGGAGTTTTATTAATACAACATGAATTTTTATAATGTAATACCATATTTAACAGAATATTTAATTTATACTATACAATTTATGGAATTGTAATTGGTGTTAATGTAACGTTGAAACTTTTTTATAATGTATTATACGCGCATTGATATCCCTTGAGAAACAATGCACCTTGCTTCAAAGATAGAATATAACACTGCTTATATCGTATGTACCGCATAACGTCATTTGGCGCCTCACGATAGTGTTATTATAGAATTTACTCGTTGGCAAATTATCTTGACAATATTGCGAGGGTGATTACAGCTTATACTATGCTATAGCTAGAATTTCCATTGTATTTTAAACATGGAGGGAAAGGTAACACTAGATAGAGTAATTGCCTTTCTAAAGGTATACTTGATATTCGCTTGCTGTTGGCCTCTTCCACCAAACGCGACGAAGCCGCAGAGACTTCTTCGTAGTGCCTTCCAGTGTTTCTGCGTCACGAATTCGATATTAGTTGGTATCGCGGCAGCATGGACAATTTATAAGCACAACGATGATATGTTTTTAGTGATGAAATTAGGATGTCAGTTGAGCGCTATAATACAAGTTCCATTACAACTGATACTCTTTGAGATGCAGAAGAAACGTTTGCAGGTATATAATTTTTATTTAGTATATATGATACATTAATTTAGTGCAAAGGCTATACTTTGTAACTTGACAAAATCCGTCGTATACTTTGCTCAGACTTATAGGAACTGTTTATATCTACAAAATAAATTGTGAAATGAAATGTTTTATCTAATGAGAGAGATTTAATTATAATATTTAATACTTTTGAGACTTTCACAGAAATACTGAAAGATTTACAAGTTATCGCAATGCAGTGTCGTGTTCCATTGCTAATGTCAACGTTTCGTGAACCTTGCTCGATCAGTATCAGTTCGCTTCTTGCCCTGATGCATAGTGGAAGAAACCCATGCATTAGGGTTTATTGTACCATGCTCTAATGAAGTGAACGGCGAAGGTCACGAAACGTTGGCAATGGATCACGGCGATAACCCGTAAACCCTTAGCACCTCAGAGATTAAATTATTTGTTTTATATTATAAAATAAATACATTCTTTAAACATAAATATACAAATACGTATTCTATACTTCTTACGCTGTTCTTTAAAATTTTGTCACGTAATTAATTACATTGTGTGACCGATTTCAACTTTTAAAATTTTCCAAAGGGCGCGTGGGTTTGATTGTGTCGGGAACACAGTCCACTATCATTTTCCCAAGAGATTTGGTAAAGTTAGATCGTAGAAGAATGGGGCATAAATTTGAAGTTATTAATTTCGAGGAGTACCAGTTGCGTTATTCTCATGGTTTTGAGATCAAATATTATCACAAATATGTACACGCACATACATACACATACTCACACTCACACTTATGCGCGCGAGCGCAAACTTTGTTTTACAAAAGAAAAAGTGACTTTTTCTGCAAGTGTCGTGCTGGACTCAGGTATTAAAAAATTGATTAAAAATATGTAGAGGGGCCGGAACTCTGTTTATAAATGATTGCATTGCATAGAACTCTGTGAGAACTAATGAGAACTGCCGTTGAAACTGATAGAAATAGTCAGCACACGTCACTTTTTCTAGAAGTTTTATGCCATTTTCTATATATAGGCGTATGAAAATTGTTAAATGTTGTTATTTTATTTTGAAAATGCATAACTTAGTTGGTTTTTAGTAGAACTATCGGGAACTGTTGCTAAAAGTGCAAATATTAATTTTTTTCCCGTACTTTAGAGGAAATCTGACGTGCCAGATTCGCATTATAGTTAGCACGCCATATTTTCAATTTTAATTTTTTTCATATTAAAACTGCGGAACTATTTTTTATTTCTAGGTAGAACTGTAGAACTATGAAAAGTGCTACTGGAACTGTTGTAATTTTTTTGATATCGATAGAATGTCGTGCCAGCTTCACAGATCCTAGATAGTAAATATATGTGTTCATTTCATATCAGGCATCAAAACTTTCGCACGCACCAGTATCACTTTATAACGCGTTAGATAAACGTAAGAATGTTAATTGTGATTTCAAATTTTCTCGGGAAACATCAAGTTGAAAACTACCGTATATTAGTAGATGATATGATGACCGCTTTTAAGAATATCGGCGTTCATATGTCATTGAAAATCCATTTTTTACATCACCACCTTCAATTCTTTGAAAAGCAGCTTGCTACAGAGTCATACGAACAAGGTGAAAAATTTCATCAACAAATCATGCAGATGGAATGTCGATACAAAGGAAAATTTCTACTTTCCATGATTTCTGATTTTTGCTGGTCAATTGCTGAATAAATTTAATAGTACATAGTGTAACAGTGGAGGATATTTGTTTATTGCGCGGCCGGGCACGAGCGCACGAGCGCTAACGAGCACGAGCTATAAACAAATATGCCCCCACTCGCTACACGTAGAATTTTTCATTACAAGTGCTCGTCGTAATGTGCCCTATATAGCAACGTTTTTGCGCAGAAGAGTGGGATTAGAGAAATAACTCAACGGCTTGAGGTATTGGCTATTTACCGCATGCAAAAGCGTTAAGGTATAGGGCACATTACGTGCACGCGTGATGAAAAAAATATTAACATGCGCTTATATTTGTTATCATATATATTTGACCTCAAATCGCGCTACCTACTTTGCCAAATCCCTTGGGGAAATGGTAGTGGACCGTGCCCCCGACATAACCAAACCCACGCGCCCTTTGGAAAATTTTTGTGGTCACACAGTGTTATTATTACTACACATGTATATAAAATTGTGAGACAGTTTATTAATTAAGA